TATATGTTTTTATTGATTTCAGAGAGGAAGGGAGAGGGGGAGAAACATCAATGATGAGAGAGAACCATTGATTGGCTGCCTCCTGCAGGCCCTTGACCTGAACCAAACCCAGGACCCTTGAGACCACAGGCCAATGCTCTATCCACTGAGCCAAACCAGCTAGGGCCACTTTTAGCGCATCAATCGTGGGTTGCCATTATATTGGTTTGTTGAAGTTTTTGTTGTTGTTTTTGAAACTCTTTGGTAGCATTTCCCAAGTGAAGTCTCAAAGATCATGTCCATTTATGTGTGAAGCCCCAAAAAGCTGAAAGGGGATATTGAGGTCATGTGATGTACTCCATATGTGATATTAGAACATACCTCATTTTATTGTGCTTCGCAGATATTGCATTTTTTACAAATCAAGACCCTTAACCAGCAAAAAGATTACTACTTCCTTTTTTGCAATGGCCTGGAAATGAACTCACATTATCTCTATGTCTGTATGACTACTTCAGGGAAGCCATGTTGAAACGGGTTTCTAAAAACCACCCCCAAGGCCACTAAGTCAGAAAGACATCGCCTTCTGTTCATCAATTTATTTGTCACTATGCCGAAAGGTTAAGATGCTGTTATTATAGCTGCTGACGGCGTAATTAGGCCCCAAAGCAGAGTTTGTAAGAACCTGTTTTCTGGAAGAATGTCTTTCCCTGTATGGGTTGATATTCAACATCAGCTTGTTTTTATTTTTAACTTTTTATTGTACATTATCGCTCACTGCCCTAAACACAGGCTCACACACACACACACACACACACACACACCCCTTTCAGACTCTGTGGCCTCTGGGCAAGCCAAGCAGCCTGAAAATGAAATTTCCCGATGGAGCAGCACAAACAGGCATCCCTTTAGTTTTCCTCCTTCCAACACACCCTCAGGAGCACTCAGAGGTGAGTGAGGTGAAGATCAGGACGGGTGAGGTGGAGAATAAGTGCAACCCCAGACCTCCTCCCTAGAGGCCATCTTCTCAGAGAACCTCCAAAGCCCGCCCCCCAAGCTGTTAAGTCAGACCAAGCCTCATGTTTCCGGGGCGTCATGAAAGCTGCAGAAGTCATAGAAACCTACTTACCACTGTCAAAACGCATCTGTTGGCAGGAAAGTTTGTGGCAAGCATTCCACGGCTCCTATCCGTGCGGAAACTGGTTTCCTATTTAGAGAAAATGGGCTTGTTACTCCTAAGCAGAGAGATGCCAGGAGCCTGGCTGACCTGGCCAGGAGGTGGTGCCCCTCAACACCTGAAGGCGAGGGGAGCCGCGGAAATCAAAGAGGCCCCATCTGCCAGGCTGCAATGATGGTGCTATTTGGAGGCAGAAAGGTTGGTCTGGAGCAGCTGGTTCCTCGCCAAGTGACCTTTTAGCATTTCTGCTTTTGCTGCCTGACAGATGTGTCAACTCAATCATTTCAAAAGCCCCAGAGTAAATAACCAATGGTGAGCGAGGATGACCCGAAGTGATGACACAGGGGCTGCTTCGTGCTGCACAATACCCAGGGACGCAGCCAGGAACATTAGCAGAAGGAGAAGGACACGTTAGCCTTTAGTTTTGACTGAATGGCTCTCCTACCTTCACATCAGTTGCTTTGAAGGGGTGAGGAAAAGAGAAGGGCGGGCTGAACGCCAGCGCTTCGAGGCGGCTATGCCCTTGGAAGACCGGCCTGCGCTGGGTGCAGGGCTCAGGTGGCACGGGGCGCTCTCACTCCCAGGGCTGGGAAGCACCCAGGGCAGCGCAATTGGCAGCGGGGAAGATTGAGGGGCTGGGGAGGGGCCGGGAGAGGCAGCTGCAATCAGGTCAGGCCTGATGGCACTTCAAGTCTTGCAAGGAGTTTGTAGAGGCAGCGCAGGTGCTGCTGGGCTGTTTTCTTCAGGGAACTAGGGGCGAGGGGGACTAGGGGGGTAGAGCCAAAGGTGAAAGGGCCCAATGCAGCCCTGGCTGAGCTTCGGGGCAATATGATTACCCAGGATTCCTCCAGGGGGGACACAAAACACTCTTGCATGGAAATCTGAGTTATTCAACATATGCATCCTCCACCCCCACCCCGGCTTTCTAAACCCTTCCCTGCTCTGCTGGGAGCACCATGAGACTATGCAGTGGTTCTCAACCTTCTGGCCCTTTAAATACAGTCCCTCCCTCATGTTGTGACCCAACCATAAAATTATTTTCGTTGCTACTTCATAACTGTAATGTTGCTACTGTTATGAATCGTCATGTAAATATCTGATATGCAGGATGGTCTTAGGCGACCCCTGTGAAAGGGTTGCTCAGCTACTGGGCACTGTGGGACTCCTCTGTCCACGGAAGAGGCTTCTGGAATTGCACTTTCCAAGACACGGAGGTTCAAATGTTCTTTCATTTTTTTCTACTTTGAAAGTGTTAGGGATTTTCTCCAACCCCACCCCTCGTTTTTTAAATTGAGTTACATACACTTAGATTAAACGGAATATTCTCTCTCAGAGGCACATCTTCCATGCCTTCCTGCCCATCTTTCCAGAGACAAACCATTATTATGAGAGAATTAATGTACAGCAGATCCCTGAATAACGTCATTTAGTTCAACATCGTTTTATTACAACATTGATGAGATACCACAGGAACTTAATTCTTGTTTATATATCACTTAGCCTACGGTAAAACTGGTTTCATTATCTGTGGCTTCACTTAAAGTTGCAGAACCAATCAACGACGTGAAGTGAGAACTTCTAGTAGCACAAGTGTGCTGACGCCAGTTCACACCAGCTCCCAAGAGGCAATGTTAAACTTTCAGGAATTTTGCAAACTGATTCTTAAATTGTCGGTAGCATGATATTGGTTGTAGTGGTAGCGTTCACACCACAGAAATCGTCAAGACTCTTTCGCTCTAGAGCAGTGGTTCTCAACCTTGGCTGCACATTAGAAATCCTTGAGAATCTTTTTAAAATGCTGATTTCTGGGGCTCATCCTTTGGAAATTCTGTTTCTTTGTTCCTAATGTTGTGGCCCCACCCTATAACAAAGAAACAGAATTTCCAGAGGATGAGGCCCAGAAATCAGGATTTTCAGTGGTTCTCAACCTTGGCTGCACATTAGAATCACCTGGGAATCTTTTTAAAATCCTGATTTCTGGGCCTGATTCCGAGACCTGGTTGTTGACGAATTCACCTGCTGACCACTGACACAGGTGAGTCTGAGCATAAGAGAATACTGCCATTTGATCATGATGAGATCAGCTTCCTCTCTTTTTCTCCAAGTTTACACTCAGATCCTACATTCAATTAATAGCAAGGCTGAGGTTGGTCAATAACATGAAGTATTACTCATTGGAAAGAGGTTTGAGGGATTTTTAAGGATTCTAGTTATATTCTTTTTAAGGAAGTTTTGCCTGTATTTTACAGTTAAAATGCTTCAAAATAGTTTAGAGTTCTCTGTTTTGGGGCCTTACTTCCATAACCTTAGTCTACCTGCTCCTCAAAATAAAACTTCTGCTCAGTTTTGGCTGATCTGGTTCCTAAAACACCCAGAATATTCCAAACTCATTCTTGACATCTAGCCTTTGCTTGTTTATGTACGCCCTGTCCGCGCCACATGTACCTGACCCAATACCTACCTAATCCTGTGCACTCTTCAAAGTCCAATTTAAACCCACCTGCCACAACTCTTCTCTCATAACCCTACTCCACAGTGTGCCTCCTTTTGCTTATAATGCTCATGGTTTTTTGTTTTTGTTCTTTTGCTTCTGCCTCTCACTTTTGCTCTTAGCCATGATATACTACCTTGTATTTTTACTTTGCTCTTCTCCGTGAGAATGCCTCGTCTACTCAAATAAAGTGTTATCTCTTGCAGAGCAATAACTTTATGTTACATGAGATAGTATTTACCTTCCCCAGCCCCTGGCACAGCACTATCTAAACCCGTAGTAAGTCCTTAAGGCAGTGATTTTCAACTCTCTGAATATGGACTCTCCAACAGAACTTTTACTAGATACTGTCCTCTGGGCCTGAGCCCTCACAGATCCTGATTGAGTTTGGTTTGTTGTTTTAACGTTTCCAAACAGTTACATATCAACCGAGTTTATTGCTACCCAGTCCAGAATCCCCTGGTGATTCTTAGATACAACGATGATTGAGAACCATGACTTAAAAGATAGGGATGGATGGATATGAAACTAAATTATGCAAAGTAATTATCAGCACCTTTTATTTTTACCAAGGTTGACACACAACTAACTGAAATATACAGTATGTTCTTTAGAACTCTCCACTTGACCATGAATTTTTTGAGAATGGAAATCTTATAGCAAGCTCTCCATCTATTGCAATGTCTGCTACCAAGCAGGTCTTGTGTCCATAATGTAAAGATAGCGTCACCCTGTCTATCTACTTGTTTCTCCTACCCCACCAACCTGGCTAGTAAAACACTCCATATATCAACTGAGGTGGGACCAAAATTAAGAGTGTTGTTGTTAAAACTATGTTTTTAATAATAAAACAAAAACATGGATAAGTTCATTGCTTGATGAAGACGATGAAAGGAAGGAAGCAGAGCAGTTCCCTTCTGGTTTGCTTCCATTTTTTTCCTCCATGAAGGAGAGTCATAGTCAGGCTGCAATGAATGAAACACAAATCTTAGTAGAAGAGGTAGTAAGGGAATGTCTAGGAGCTTTAAAACGTGTTCAAGTCCAGATGCATTACATCTAAGACAATTAAAACAATGTGCAGCTGTTAAAACAGCTGCTAGTGTCCTGGGGGGGAAAAGTCGGAGGCAATGGGAAAATTGCCAGGAGATCAGAGCTAAGCAAATGCCTCAGATTTCAAAAGGGGGTTTTTTGTAATCTAAAGTGAGATGAGTTTGACTTTCATACCCAGCAACATTTCAAAGAGTGTTCTTCACTAGATACGTTGTATGCACTTAATAAGGAAAGAGGTGATTCAAGAGAGACCAGCATGAAGTCACCAAAAATAATTCCGTGAAAACCATCTTATACGGTATTACAGTAGAAGGGGAGTAGATGGAAATACTATCACACAAGGCCCATGCTACTGTGTTCTAAACTTTTTGAGACACAAATCTAACATTGGCTCTGCAGCCACCTCTGACCTTCCACATGAATGGCAAGCTCAAGCCCTGACACTGGTCCCTCCGTACATCGGTCAGGGCCTCCCGTTTTTTACAGCCCCACCCCCACTATTCAGACTCCACCTTTGCCACCCCTATCGCCTGTTGCCTCCAGAGTCCTCTTCCTCTGACAAATTTTCCGTGCTCAAGGCCACTGACAAATTTTACTTTGGGCTCTGAGGATGACTGCCCCATACCTATGACCTGGGAATTCCATTGTGAGAGAGACTACAGTCTTTAACCACTATTTTTAAAAACATCACTCCATAACCTCAGTCCAAGACTCCGTCCCTTACCTTCCTCCTTTTGTCTCCTTTTTGCCCTCCCTATTCTTCCAAGAAAGTTTACTGAATAATTCTGCATCTAATCTACCCGCTGCCATGTTCTGTCACATTGTATTTCTGTGCAAGCTACTGCCAACTGGGTTTCTGCCTCAACTGTTCCACTAAACTGGCTCTCACAGAGGTCAGTAATCACCTGCTGGTTGACAAACACAATGGACACAGTCTAGTTTAATTATTACTCTAGTCTCCCCGCAGCATTTGTCATTGTTAACCATTCTCTTCTTTTGTAAATTCTCTTCTGCGTTAATCTTCAAGATTTTCCTCATGACGGATTGACTCTTTTCGAGTTTCCCTGTCTCTCTCCAACAGCCACCTAAAAATTGACCTTTACCACGATTTCACTTTCAGCACTTATCTCATTCTTCACACTCTCCCTTAGGTGATCTTATCCATACACAAACTGCAACCAACACTTACAGATGGCATCTGACCTCCAGACTCACATCTCTGCTTGCATAGGCTATAAGCTTATGACTTCAAGCTGACCAAATGAACTCTATCATTTGCCTTGTCCCCAACCTATCAAAAAAAAAAAAAAAATGAGGCAAAAAGTCCTTTTAAAAACCTAAATTGTTGGGTTTTCTTATTTGGTTTCACCTTTCTGCCACTACTTAGATTCTGACAATGGATGAATAAGATGTGAAATAATAGACTATTAAGAACACTTAGCAGATAGACACTATAAATTGTGTTCTCAAAAAGTGACCAAAAGCCAAG